GCCCAGAAGATGAAGTTTAAAGGCAACCGGCTGAGATGTACAGGGATTCCTTGGGCGGAGCACAAACTCGCAAACTGGAAGGAAGGGAGAGGATGAGGAGGAGGGGGCCTCGGGAAGGAGGAGGAGTTCTGTCGCATGAGGGATAGGGCAGCAGGAGCTCGAATAGAGATTCTCTGCCCCCATCCCCGTCCCCGAGCCCAGTCCGAGCTCCCAGCCCTCTCCTTTCGGGGTGGGGGCCTCCAGAGTTGAGGGTCACTGCTCAAGCGCCCCCAGGGTCAGTCCTTCCCCCCCATCACTCCTTTGATCCAGTCCAGGTAGTTGAGCACTTTGGTGTAGAAGCCATAGCCCTTGCCGCACCCGACGCCCCAGGATACGATGCCCGTGGCCACCCAGTGATGGGCGCGCTCATCCCATACCACGTAGACGCCACCACTGTCCCCCTGGCAGACGCTCTGGTGCCTCATCTCATCCCCAGCGCAGAACATGTTGTCCGAAAACACCTCAGACCTCTGCTTCTCTTGGAGCCAGGCCTGGCAGGCCGCCCTCGGGGCGACGGGAAGCCTGGAGTACTTCAGCTCGGTGGTTAACCAGCCCCTCTCCACGCCGAACCCACTGACATAGCCCAACACGCCGCTGCGGTAGAGGGTCTCACTGTCGGGCAGACAGACCGGGAGGAGGCTGGGCCCGAGGGGGACGCTGTGTTGGAGCTCCAGGAGGGCAATGTCCCCGTTGAAGTCGTGGGACTCGTTCTGGCGGTAGTCGGGGTGCACGACCACACGGCGCACAGGGTGACTTCCCAGCCGCAGCATCTCGTCTAGGCTTGTGTGGCCCAGGAAGACATCCACCCTCCGGTTCTTCCAGGGAAAGACGCTGTCCTTGGGATAGATGGTGTGGGCGGCGGTGAGGATCCACCTGTCGCCCAGCAGGGCCCCCCCTCCACGGCCGTAGATACTGGTGAAAGCTTGCCAGGGGAAGTTGCCCAACTTGGCTTTGGAGGAACCGAGGGCCTCCTGGTTCTGGGCGATGGGGGTGAGTGGCCGGCCACAGACTGGAAGAGAAGAGGGGTACGGGTGACATCAGCAGCTGCATCAGGATACATTTGTTGAACGGGGCGCCTGGGTGGCTCAGTGGGTTAAGCCGTCTGACTTCAGCTCAGGTCAGGATCTCACTGTTCGTGAGTTCGAGCCCCATGTTGGGCTCTGTGCTGACAGCTCAGAGCTTGGAGCCTGTTTCGGATTCTGTGTCTCCCTCTCTCTGCCCCTCCCCTGCTCATGCTCTGTCTCTCTCTGTCTCTCAAAAAATAAATAAACGTTAAAAAAAAAAAAGATACACTTGTGAAAGACCTGCTTCTGTGAAGTGCTCTCTCTCCTGTCTCCACAGATACTTACAAAAAAAAAAAAAAAAATCACTCTTGGGGTGATGAGCATCCCAGTCTTGATTTTGGCTCAGGTCATGATCCCAGAGTCATGGGATTGAGCCCCGTGTCGGGCTCCACGCTCAGTGTGGAACCTGTGTAGGATTCTCTCTCTCCCTCTGCCCCTCTCCCCTGGTCTCTCTCTCTCAAAAAAATATCACTTATTTATTTTACCTGAATAATGGGATTAAAGGGGCACCTGGGTGGCTCAGTCGGTTAAGCGTCTGACTTCGGCTCAGGTCATGATCTCGCAGTTCGTGAGTTCAAGCCCCGCGTCGGGCTCTGTGCTGACAGCTCAGAACCTGGAGCCTGTTTCAGATTCTGTGTCTCCCTCTCTCTCTCTGACCCTCCCCCATTCATGCTCTGTCGCTCTCTGTCTCAAAAATAAATAAACGCTAAAAAAAAATAAAATAAAAAAATAATGGGATTAAAAATTTTAATTCCAGTGTAATTACTTTCACGTGTACAATATAGTGATCCAACAACTCTACACATTACTCAGTGCTCATCAGGGTGAACTGTACTCTTGATCCCCTTCACTGCTTTCACCCATTCCTCAGCTATTTTTTAAAAAAAATTTTAAAAATATAATTTATTGTCAAATTGGTTTCCATACAACACCCAGTGCTTTTCCCAACAAGTCCCTCAGCTATTTTAAAGCCACTTCTCTAGACTCTTGGTGGGGCCAGCCTGAGCACAATCATGCAGCAAGCCGAGGTTGTCCTCAGCGTCTGTTGTCTTTGTTTTCTGTGCCCTTCCTTCATTTTTTTATTTTATTTTTTTTTCAGTTTTTTTTTTGTAATTTTTATTTATTTATTTTCAACATAATACTTAATTATATATATTTTTAATTTACATCCAAATTAGTTAGCATATTCTTCTTTCATTTTTAAAAAAATTTTTATGTTTATTTAGTTTTTGAGAGAGTGCAAGCGGGGAAAGGGGAAAGAGAGAGGGACGCACGGAGTCCGATGCAGGCTCCAGGCTCTGAGCTGTCACAGCACAGAGCCTGATGTGGGACTCCAACTCACGAACTGTGAGATCATGACCTGAACCAAAATCGGATCCTTAACCGACTGAACCAGCCAGGCGTCCCGACCTTCCTTCATTTTTAACATCTTCCACTACTACCGGCCCTCCCACCCACCCCCCAAAACAGTGCTCAGGCTGGCCCGAGAGCCTTCTGAGGGTCAGGAGTGGTACCTGAGAAGTTTGTTCCGACAGGGTTAGAAAGGCAATGCTTTGGACTCAAAAAAGTGGGTTTCAAAAACGGTGAACTTGAACCCTTGTATTTGCTGGTGGGCGTGTAAAATGAGGCAGCCACAGCAGAACACGGTCTGGCAAGTCCTCAGAAAGTTAAACATAC